CCCCGACTTCAAGCCCGGCACAAAGAGAAGCGGCGGGATCTGCTCGTGAAAGGAAAGGCAGGAGGCAAGCTGCCACTTTCCTGTTGGCGAATAGAAATAGGAAGTTCCTGTGCAGACAGGAGATCATCTATCAGTGCAATTACAGTGTAATTAAAGCCTCTCAGCAATGACAGCTACTAGGGTAAATTCTAAAGTAGATTATTCCATGCTCACAATCCCACCAGCCTCAGCTCTTCAGGGGGATAATTATGCAGCTCCAATTATTGCACCATGAGGTTGTCAAGCCTGGGAGCCGCATTTTATAAATGAAAGAAATAAAATATAGAGACACAAAGGCTCCAGGTCTGAAAGCTGTTTAGATACCTAATAGCAACCACTTTTTTTTTTTTAATCAAGCTGAGCAATTTTTAGATTTTTAAGTGTTAAAAAGAAAACAAAGCCAGTTAAAGTCATTGCACCCTAAGCAAACTCCTCCTTGAGAGATTGTTTTCCCCACAGATTATAGCTCCTTACGTGAGAGGACAGAGAGGACACAGATCTGACAAATTTTTATTAGATTGGATGTGTCCAATCAGTCACAGAGATGACATTAGAACTTACTAGGGATGAAGCCTGTCAGCCCAGATAGGAGAGATATGGAAGAAAGAAGAGTCAGACAAAAGGAGCTACAGAGAGGGAGGGGAAAAAGAGAAGGAAAAAAGAAAAAAAAAAAAAAAGAGAGATTCATGTCCAGAGAGCATTCCTAGAGAAGCTCATCATTTACAGCCGTGTCAGCCAAAGGACTTCCCATGTCAGTATTTAAAACAAAAGCCACCCAAAGTAATCCATCACAGAAAGACCAGTTCCTCAAGAGCACAGCATGGGCAGTAAAACATGTGCTTGAGAGACATTACACAGCCACTCTGTAGAGCTGGTTTTTATTGTGGCTGGTTTGTTTTTTGAAAAAAGGCCACACACACAATAAAAGCCCAAACCAAAAAAAGCAGCGCTTTTTTCTACCTACCAGAGATTTCTGCTCAAAAGACTCTCAGCGAAAGTCCGGAGGATTGCTGTATTACTGAGATCCCAGTCCTGGTAAGCGCCACTTCAGCTCAGCACCCTCCAAAACCCTATTTCCTGAGTCTCCATACTTGTATAGCCCTGTGTATCCACCAGCTGAGGTTAAAACCCTAGTTGTGGCAGCTCCTGCAGAGTTAACAACGTTTTTATGCTACTCACCCTAGTGGAGGATCTGACACCTTAATTACCACACCACCTTCCTCCTGGGCATTTCAGAACTCGCCTTCACCCCCCAAGGCCAGATTTAAGCCAGCACACCAACAACACAGATATCAGAGATATCAGAGAAGTTAAACAACCAACTAATCATAGAATGGTTTGGATGGGAAGGGACCTAAAGACCATCTCGTTCCAACCCCCCGGCCATGGGCAGGGACCCCCCCTGCCAGATCAGGTCACTCCAAGCCTCGTCCAACCTGGCCTGGGGCACTGCCAGGGAGGGAATTGTATTCCTAGCTTTGTTTCTGATATTATGATTATTCCTGCCCACCAAACCAGCATTTCTGGAGTCTATTCCCCCAGATAAGAGGTTTAAAGACACTGCCAAAACCCCTGTAGCTTTCCAGGAAGGTCAAATGAATCTCAGCGAAGAAGAGCTCTTGGGTTGCTGTTCTGTTTGAGGACTGTAGAAACGGAGCACGTAAATATGGTTTAAAACAATTCACAGAGAAACATTAAACAAGCAGGAACAGCCCAGAGTGGGAGGCCTGGAGGAGAAAAGCAGCACCGACTGCACTTACGTACTGGCCACCCACTGGTAACGTTAATAAATCATCAGCTCTAACTGCAACAAAATCCAAGCCCTTCTTCATCCTTTATAGGGCAACGCTGACGGGCAGTTTGACCCTGGGCCCCAGGTTCGAGTGAGGAAACACAAACAGTCTGAGACACTAACCTACATCCTGAAATGCCACGTTTACACCCTCAGAGATGGCCTAAACCTCAGTCAGACACGTAGACGTTGTCACGGTTGGTCCCCAGAAGTACAACTCCAGTGCCAAGTTAAGCACAGGAAGGAGTGACACGACCCAAGAGAAGAACTGCAGTGCCCGTCACCGCAAGGAGCCGTGTCCCCAGCAGAGACTGGGTTTGCCAGACCAGGAACAGCAAGTGTTTGCCTGCTCGCTGACCCCAGCAGAATAAAGAGAGCTGAGAAGAGGATCCAAACTGGCAATGAATGACTCGGAGGCAGAGCAACCCACTGATTTGTGCAGAACCAGTACCTAGCAAAGCCTGGCCTGAATGCCCAGTTATGAGCTCGCTGGTAACACGGACATGCCACCAACTGTCCAGAAAGTCACCTCCAAGAGACCCTCTGGGCAGAATGGCCAAACAGACTCATACAATCACAGAATCCTAGACTGGCCTAGGCTGGAAGGGACCTTAGAGATCATCTAGTCCAATCT